TTTTTCTTTTTGTAAATTTAATTTCATTTAATTCTAATAAATTTCACGAGGTGATTCCTGATGATGTGTTCAGTTCGAACACGAAAGCTCGAATCCCCTTCTTTTATTTCTGTCTGAAATAATTTTAATCTGAAATGATCTTTGCAGCAGTTCTCTCTTTATTTTCTTATTTAATTCCTACTGCTCCTTCTCCTGAATGCTATATAGTTCTTTTCATATCTATGCATAGATTATTGAAAAGGAAATGTTGTGAATAACTCATTATTTTGATTGTGATATCCAGAGAATTATGAAAGAGTTGATGGGAAGTTCATACTTTTCACTCTGTTGAATATCTTTCAAGCATAACTTGTAAAATTTCTAGAGAATTGAGAAATACATTAGTCAGTGTGATCATCACAGTGGTCAATTTGAGATAAACATGTTTTATATATTTGATTGAGATAAGAAAGGAAATAGAAAATATAGACAACTGAAGACTGTGATACCGGTATGTGAAGAAATTTTGTGCAATAGATTTGACTGCTATTCAGCGTTTCAATCTTTCCAATGCAACAGTCGGCACAACTGTAGCTGGTGGTTATGGATCGGGAACAAACAGTAGTCAATTAAATCAGCCCTACGCCGTTTGTGTCTCACGAGCAGGCGATATCTATATTGCCGACAAGCTAAACCACCGTGTGCAACTTTGGAGAGCTGGAGCAAAAACTGGAATAACCATTATTGGCGTGACTGGTGTTAATGGTTGCAATGCAACGATGTTAAAGGGACCTAGTCATGTTATGTTGAGTCCTGATGAAAGTATTCTGTACGTAAGCGACAATGGAAACAATAGGGTGCAACGTTATGTCATTACATGGTAGATTCACAATACTAGTATCGACTGCTAAAGAATTGACTTTTTTTTCTAAAACAGACTTTATATTAACTTGATTTTCGTTATATGCTTAATGTACGCAGAAATGTGAGATTACATTGAACTTCAATGCATCTCATATATTCATAATAGGAACTAATTGTACTAAAAATGCTTTTTTATTGCAAAAATCTTCGTATAAGAATTTAAAATCCTATAATATAATCATTTATATGCATATATCTTTCTTGACAATAATAATGCTTTGTCATAGATTAAAACTTACGCTCGTGGTTAATTTCAAAAGAAAAGAATTTTTAAGCTATGAAAAACCTTTGTATCTAGCTAATTAGAACAATTCTCATTACTGAAAATGATCATCTTATCTTCACAATCACAATCATATGTATACTCGTACTCATTCAATAATATTATTTTATTTACATAATATTCTTAATTATAAGATAGTTCATATAGAGTAGGCCAAAAGTAATACGAAATGAACTTCTTTTGAAATTTGCTTTTACAGATATATAGTTCGATGTCATATTTAACGTATATATATTAGATGAATTTGTCAAAATATGTATTGTTGTATTTCTACCTTTTGATATGACATCAAACTATAGATCTATAATGAAAAATTTGAAAAGAAGTTCATGTCATGTTACTTTTAAACCACTTTGTATGCAGGAGCATGGATCAAAAATAAGAAAAATAATCAGAAAACACTTGTATAAATATATGCAAGCGTCAACTTTATACTGCAGGTTTTTATCAATGTCTTGTGAATTGAATGCTTATTTTTTTTGTCTTTTTTTTATCGCGAAGTTAGCTAAGTTCCTTTGAAGTCTATGCATATTTATTATTAATCAAACAGTTACGAGTGAATATCAAGTGCTTAATTAATTGAATTAATTTTAAAAATTTCAAATTACTCATTAAATCTACAATATCTACTCTCTTTTTCGTTTTATTGTACATCGTCAAGTTTTCTATTTTCAATAATTTCCAAAAATCTATTTTTTTTCTATTAGCCATTCAATGTGGATTAATTATTTTTTCCGAGATTTTTATTTTATTTCTTAAAGGTCTTTTTATCATTGGTTAATTTTTTTTTCTTTACAGTATATATAAAATAAAAGTAAAAACTATTCGAAAAAGAATTTTCTTATTGTTTACATTTAATATTCATACTGATTTCCAGAATGATTTTTATACAAGTTCTAATAAATATCAATATATATTAATTAATTTTTTTTATTGATATACAGTTCATTTTTCATTCTGTTTTATTTTAAATTTATCTAGAACGATGTAGATGACAGTCAAGAATTAATATTGATCAAATAATTTTATAATCATATTTGATTAAAGAAAGCTTAAAAATACTATGTGATTTACTATGATATTTAAATGAATAATTATTCTACAAGTAACACTCTTTCTCGTGAAAATCTATCGTCTTCACATCTACTGGAAAAAATCCGTTTTCGATGTTTTTTTTGACCCTGCGGACACTCAAGCAAACAATCTCTTTAAAAATTTCAATTGAAACGAAGTATTTCATGTTGAATAAAATTATTATATGAAACATAAGAAAACTTTCTATATCATAGTATTTGTTGAGATATTTCTATTAGAAATAAAGTACAAGGTTATATAAAACAGCATGAGAATGATAATCAAAGAAAAAGAACAATAGATAAAGAACTGGAAGAAAAAAATGATATGAAGCAGAAAATGATAGATAGATCATATTTTCTTTACCATTTATCATCATTATTTTCTCTTTGTTCTTTTGTTATTGCCATTTGTAGTCAATTATATATGTATATATGTGTATGTTGTGAGTACGTTATCGAGAATATTAACGAGACAAAGTTAGTATAGAATTCTTTATATTATTTATTTCTAATTTAGATTAAAAAAAAGTTATAAAGTCAAGATACTTGATTATTATCATGGAGTGACAAATTGTAATCGTAGAAATTAGGATAGTCACTATTAAATATAATTATCGATTCTATCATTGGAAAAGTGAGTAGAATATAATATTTTGAAAATATTAATTTACAGACATCTTTATTTTAATTAATGAGAAAAAAAAGAAATTAGAACTCTTCTTTCTATATATCATCAACAAATATGAAAAATTCAAGTCCTATCATGGTTGCTAACACAAAACTCTAATCTGAATTCAACAGAACTACTTACGTATCAAACAATCATAGCATTCTCTTATCAGTTCTTTCACTTTTTTGAAAAGTGCCTATAATATAGCTTAATAAATCAACGTCTACCACTAATCAATAGCAGCAATTTGTCTTTTCTGTACCATAATATCTTCAGGATAATTTGTAATCGTACATGAAAGTAGATTTTTGATTTCTTCTTGTGAAGTATGAATAAATATTTGTTAAATCAGGTATTTTCTAAAAGTTAGTAGTAGGAGAAATTTTGTCACGTCCTCATTATTATAGAAATATCAAGTGTATTTTATATATATTATCGAGATTTTTTACGATAAAATAAAAATATTCAATTTGTTTTATTAAAAATGAGAGAAACTATTGTTTCATAAATTTTTATTCTATTCATAGATATATTTTTCAAAATATCAAAATGCACAAAACTCGAATTCTTCTCGTATTTATTATATCATTAGGAATATCAGTAATTTATGGAATGTCTTTTTTTAAAAATACTTTAATGTTTTATGATACTAATATAGTACGATTATTAATTCGTTCGAATCCACCTGTGGATAAATTTACTAAATGTTTACTTGATGCACAACATGTATTTGTTAATTTATCATTACCATGGTTTCTTGCGTTTGGAACAGCTCTTATGTATTATCGATCAAATAATTTTATTTCCGATGATATTGATATTGGAATATTTGCTGATGATTTTGAAAAAATGAATATAACTCATACGACGTTTATATCGACAGTTCGTAGACATGGTTTTAAATTACGTTCTGCGTATGGTAATATGACACATGGACAAGGTTGGACACTTGAATGTCCTCGTTCTAAACTACATTTCGGTATTTTTGTTTTTTATCATGGTGATCCAGCTAATAATGAAACATTTGCATGGTGGACAGCTTCATACAATGGATTGTGTAATAAAAAGCGCTACCATAAATGTCGTTGGTCATTTCCAGATTTTAAATTAGATACTTTCGAAATGTATGGACAACAATTTCAAGTAGCTTCAAAACAATTTTTAACAGTACAGTATGGACCTACCTGGATGACGCCAAGGAAATATGGATACTTTGAATCACTTGAATTTTTAACTAATCTTATTGATGAATAAGAAAATTTATATTATTAAAATAAAGTACAATAATTTATTTTTAATTGTGTTAATAATATTTATTTTTTGTTAATAAATAAAAAGCTAGTCGATATTTAAGATAGATCATTTTTACTTGTTATTGTCAATCTAGTATATGTTTTCACAAATCCCTATGTAATAGAAATAATACTCCA